ATTATTTAATATGTACAGAAATTTAGGAGCCTCATGATATTTTAAAAGTTGTACTTAGCATAACTCCAAAAGTTTCTATATAGATCCTCTGCCTAAAATTATCACATGCTAAGGGAAGATAACATCATATCCACAGGAACACTTTGCATTACTAGTCAAACCTAATAGAACTCTCTGTTCCTTTATAAGTGCTCACTTTCTCTCTCTCTAAAAAAAAAAAAAAAAAGCACAACATGAGGAAGTGATTCTTGGGACATACTTGTTCTAAATGTTAACAATAGAAAAGGCAATTTTGTTTTTCATTGTCAATAATAAGACCTTTACTTCTTTCTCATTAAGATATGCATTAGTCACATACCTTCAGCAAGGGCACCTGTAGCAGAGGCAGATGAAGATGAGGGGCTATTTATGACATTTATAATGTATGGAGGAGGGAGTGGCTGTTCCAAGTCCCTAACTAATCCAGAGATTCTGTGGCTATACTCTGAGCTGCAAGATCTCTCTGTATCCCAAGGAAACTGAGGTACTCTGACACTCCATCCCCTCTCCATCACTCTTCCCAATCTAGCTTTCAAGACATCCACCTTCATATTCTCCCATCACTTCCCTCTTCAGAAAGGCTGTTATAATATTTGTTTATAGAAGGGGTGTGCCATTGTTAATCTGTACCTTTCTCTTTAGGCATCACTGGTCAATTTTCTTAAAGATTTGCCCTCAAAATCTAAAATAGGCCAGGCACAGCCGTTCACACCTGTAATCCCAGAGCTTTGGAAGGCTGAGGTAGAAGGATCACTTGAGCCCAGGAGTTCAGGACTAGCCTAGGCAACAAAGTGAGACCCTATCTCTACAAATTTAAAAAAAAAAAGTAGCAGAGCATGGTGGCATGCATCTGTAGTCCCAGCTATTTAGGGGGCTGAGGTGGGAGGATCACTTGAGCCCGGGAGGTCAAGGGTGCAGTGAGCCCTGATTGCACCAATGTACTCTAGTCTGGGTGACAGAGTGAGACCCTTTGTCAAAAAAAAAAAAAAATCTAAATAACCCACAAAAGGGTCCGGGCTTGATGGTGCACGCCTGTAATCCCAGCACTTTGGGAGGCCGAGGCAGGTAGATCACAAGGTGTGGAGTTCAAGACCAGCCTGGCCAACATGGTGAAACCCTGTCTCTAAAATATATATATATATATAAATGAAAAAAAAAACCCAAAAAAGGAATGAAATACATGATATGCACAATGAAAAATTGTGGAAAGTAGTAACCATACTGCAAAACTAGTTTTCAACACATAAGCAACTTGTTAAAAGATTATCAACAGTAAAGGAAGTCCTGAAATAATACCTCATTGTAATTCACCTTTTCATTGGAAGATAAATTAACATAGCATTTCATAATTTATTTTAAAATACTCTAATATTTAATCTGAGATAATTTCCCCTGAAACATCACTGTGCCATACACAAGAGTTAGAAAAGGTGGCATCAGGTCGTGCATGGTGGGTTGTACTTATAATCCCAGCGCTTTGGCAGGCTGAGGCTGGCAGATCACAAGGTCAGAAGTTTGAGATCAGCCTGGCCAACATGGTGAAACTCCGTTGCTACTGAAAATACAAAAACTAGCCGGGCGTGGTGGCACGCGCCTATAATCCCAGCTACTCAAGAGTTTGAGGCAGAAGAATTCCTTGAACCCGGGAGGCGTAGGTTGCAGTGAGCTGAGACTGCACCACTGTACTCCAGCCTGGGTGACAGAGACTCTGTCTTGGGGGGAAAAAAAAAAAAAGAGGGGGGGGGGGGGGGGGAGGGGAGGGGGGGGGGAGAGGAGAGGAGAGGGGGAGAGGAGAGGAAAGGAGAGGAGAGGGCATAAATAGATTAAGATGATTTAAGGCTTTGAATTCAATTATGAAATGAGTACCTAGCAGAGGTAACATAATTTGAAAAATACCGCAATCCACTTATCCCATCTGCTTTTTAAATAACTCAACTATTTTTTATCCTTTTATTATAAATTAGAATAAAGTGAAGAGACACAAATCAAAACAAAACAAAAGTCTACAAGATGGTAAAAATCCCTGCTGTTATGGAGCTTCCTTCTGGTAAGAGAAGCAACAAGCAAGACAGATGAATAAACACGATGCATTCAGAAAGGCTTGGAAAAGATAAAACATGGAGATGTGAAGGAGGATGTGGGTGTTCCAGGAGGCTTCAGGAGCTGACACATGAAGAGAGATCTGAACGGTGGGGGTGGGGGCAGCCGTGCCAAGGACTGGGGGAAGGTGGCGTGCACAGAAGGACCAGAGGTGTTGGTACTCCAATACTCAGATACTGTTTACTCTGTGGATACACAGAGTGAATGGCAGGAAAAATGGTAAGAGATGACATCAGGGAGGAAGGCAGAGGCACCTCATCTAAGGCTTGTAGGACGTGGCAATTCAAAATTGGAAACCTAGACTGATCCACATGATGATCGTGGAATGAGGACTTACTCTGAACATGCTTGTTCACTCCTCTCATGCCAGGCAGAGGAAACCACTGACCCAGTAAACACATATTGATCATCTATTATGTGCTTAAGCATCCTTACAGAAAAACTTTTTAAAGGGATGCCATGGATTTTCACTCAGTAATTTAAAGAATGTTTTGTCCGTTGTGATTTTCAAAATAATAGCTAAGAACAACATAAGATCACTTCACTAATAACCTCCAAAATGACAATGATTTCCATTTCAACTTCACATTTATATGCAATACTCATATTTATTATGCAAGAGCATAAGAACTTTTCTATTAAGATCTTGGTATTCAGCAACAAACTTTTTCTTGACTTAGTTCTAAGCCAAATGTGACTCCTGATCTTGCTTGGATGGGAGATTTGTGAGGTATTATGAAAAACACATTTAGATTTTCAGCCTTATAACATCAGCATATAAGCCGGGCGTGGTGGCTCACGCCTGTAATCTCAGCACTTTGGGAGGCCGAGGCGGGTGGATCACGAGGTCAAGAGATCGAGACCATCCTGGTCAACATGGTGAAACCCCGTCTCTACTAAAAATACAAAAAATCAGCTGGGCATGGTGGCGCGTGCCTGTAATCCCAGCTACTCAGGAGGCTGAGGCAGGGGAATTGCCTGAACCCAGGAGGCGGAGGTTGCAGTGAGCCGAGATCGCGCCATTGCACTCCAGCCTGGATAACAAGAGCGAAACTCCGTCTCAAAAAAAAAAAACAAAAAAACACATCAGCATATATATGAATGTGCTCAGTAACCATAAACATCCAATACACATAAGGTGGTATTTACATGTTTTCTGGTTGGACAATTACCCTTCATTTTGTGTGAAGAGAATAAAGGGAAGGAAACCAAGATGAACCATGCCTGTAATAGGGACTAGACGTGGAGTGGAGTTCCCACTTAATGCTCCCAATAGCCCCGTGAGGTATTATCTCTGTTTTGCTGAAGTGCAGATAAGTTGGTTAACTAGCTAGGTCAAAGCTCATGCTCATTTCTAAATTAATCCTTAAAGCTTCCTGACTTAGAGGAGCCAATTAATTAACAGTATTAATTTATTCAACATGCACTTTTCTAAAGCTCTTGAAAAGCCTATTGATCCACACTGGTCTTATCAAAGGAAATGCACAAAAATCTCCAAAGAGAAATTTGCCCTCTATTGCTGGTCAAAACAGCTTCACTGAAGAAGAGACATACCAAAATCTAGAAACTGATTTTCTTTAAAAGTCTGACAGAAAGAAAATCTGACAAGAAAATTTGACTAGCCTAAAGCACAAATGCCCAGCCTTGCTGAGGGTGGTTTACATGGGAACTGAGATGCTACTGGCTTGCACGATGAGGACATGCAGGAGGGTTCAGAGACAGCCCAGCTTTGTCTTAGACAAAATTAATTACCCAGTCTGAACACTGTGAACATGGGCACATTTTGTTCCTGCCCCTTTGACAGGCAGCAGATGGCATAACCAATCATAAATGCTGGTCGACAAAAGCTTCAAGAAAGGAACCTTGGGTTTGTACCTAAGTTCTGAGCTGCTGCTGCCTTCAACACTGAGGTCCACTGAAATATTCCTGTCAGCAGGCTTGGAGCAGGCACTTATCATAAAAAGGCAGTGAATTCAGAGGGCAGGAATCTCTTGCATAATCACTTTATTTAAGCCCACACAAGTATGCATTTAGTTCTTGTTTATTTTGCTCTTTCATTCCTGGAATTGTTCAGTCAGTGGTGTTTTTGGAAGCCTGTCTTCCCCAGAGTCTCTCCAGCCACATATTTTTGACATGCTTTTACGGAAACTTTTCTTTCTGTTTTTCTTTTTTTAAACACACAGTCAATAGAATTGTGCACCTTCCTCACGAGTCTTTTGGTAAATCACTGATCACGTGTGTGACTTTTCAGATGTCAGTCGCACAACAGCAGACTAGAACTTTAAAACCCCTTGATTTCAGTGAAATCCAAGCTTCGCCTGTTCCCGTTCCTCTTCCATCCAGGGGTTATTTGGCTGAACTGTTACCCTGTTTCAACAGCTTGAACACCAACCAACTGGACAAACAGCACTGCTTGCAAAAGAGGGCCTGCTTCCCCCGGCCCCCACCCCCATCGCAGCACCCGCAACCCGGCCGCGCACCAGTGGGGAAATCGCCGCCAAGTTCCCCGCTTCTCGTTTCAGCCCAAAATGGCCCAGAAACGGCGCCCGTCGTGCGACTCCAAGCCCCTCAGCTCTCCGGTCAGCTGCCCTTACTTGGGGTTCCCTCCCAGCGAAGTGAGGTCTGCGCTGAGGACAGGGCCCTCGCGTATTCTTGGCCACCCCCCTTCCCCGAGGGCAGGCGGGTGGGAGGTGACCGGAGCCAGGGCCCACGGGAGTCGGGCGTGCAGGGAAGGGCAGGACGCCCGGCTGGGTGCGGCGTCTGCGGGCCGCCCTCGGGCGCTCAGGCACGAAGAGGGTGCTCTGGGCAGGGGGCGAAGGCGGTCGCACGCGGTCCCGGCGAGGGACGGCTTACCCGCTTACCCGCGACGGCAGCAGCGGCGAGGCCCAGCAGCGGCACCAGGAGCGCGGGCAGCGCGGCCCGGAGCATGACGGCGGGTGCGGGTAGGCGGCAGCGGCGGCGCGGCCGGAGCGGGGCGGGGCGGGAGCGGGGGCGGCGCTTCTCGGGTGCGGGTTCAATCCCCGCCGGGCGGAGCGTGGACCGGGGTCGGGGGGCTCCCACCCAGGACGACCCGGGTGCTCCGGGTCTCAGGAGCGGCTGGCGCGCAGCCTTCTGGAACTTCTAATTTTGTTTTTAACTTTTCCTTTGAACTGAAACAATTTAAGACTTTCGAAAATGTTGCAAACACAGCACAAAAGATTTCCGTAACCCTTCAGCCAGCTTCTCTAAATATTAACATCTTATATAATGCCAGTGCAGTGATCAAACACAGGACATCCCCACTGGGATAATGCGATTAGCTAATCTGCAGCACTTACCACATCTCACTAATTGCCCGTCTAAGGGTCCTTTTCTGTTTTGGGATCCGACCAGGATCATACACTGCATTGAGATGTCGTGTCTCCTTAGTCTTCGTTTAATCCAGGGCAGTTCTCTGTCATTCTTTTTCTTTCACGATGAAACCACATTTTAAAAGTACTGGCCAGCCGTTAAGTAGAATGTCTCCCAGTTTTGTCTTGTCTGATGTTTCCTCCTGATTGGATTCAGGCTGCGCTTTTTTTGGCAAGAGTGCCCCAGAAGTGATGACCCTGCTCGAGAAACACAAGATGCCGACGTCTCATCACTGGTAATGTTAACTTGGATCACTTGGTTAAGGTGGCGTTTGCCAGCCTCCTCTTCTGGATCTAATGGTCAGAATCCTCCTTTTCAGACTCTTGTAAGTGGGCCATGTCTCTTTGATAACTTTCCTCTGTTACCAGCACCTGGATGAAGAGTCTTTCAGCTATGTTTGGTACAATGTATGCATAAACTGTGCAGTTATACTTCACCCATGAGGGCCTCTGGACAACACCAGACAGGGTCAAGCAAGGGTGCTTGTTTAAGCCTCGTGTCATTGGCAAAAGAGTTCTATAAAATCAAGTCTAAACTCAACAACATGAAAACAAATGACTCAGTTAAAAAAAAATGGGCAGATGATCTGAATACACATTCATCAAAGAAGTTATATAATGGCAAATAAACAGATGAAAAGATGCTCAACATATGTCATTGGTGAATTGCACATTAAAACAAAAATGAAATACCACTACGTACCTGTTAGATATCAGAATCCAAAAACATTGCCAATACCACATGCCGTTGAAGACGTGGAGCAAAAAGAACTCTCATTCAATGCTGGTGCAAATGCAAAATGGTACAGCCAGTTTGGAAGCTTCTTCCAAAATCAAATATACTCTCACCATACCATCTAGCAATCAGAACCCCTTGGTATTTATCCAAATGAGTTAAAAACTTACATGCACTCAAAAACCTGCACATGAATGTTGATAGCAGTTTTATTCATAATTACCAAAACCTAGAGGCAACCAAGATATCCTTCAGTAAGTGAATGGATAAACAATGGCACATCCAAACAATGAATATTATTCAGTACTAAAAACAAATGAGCTATGAAGCCACAAAAAGACATGGAAGAACTTTAAATATGTATTGCTAAGAGAAGCCAATCAAAAAAGCCTACATATTATATGATTCCAACTATATGACATTTTAGACAAGGCAAAACTATGGAGACAGTACAAAGATAAATGGTTGCCAAGGGTTGGGGTGGGGAAAAAAAGGGGAGGAATAGATGGAACACAGGATTTTTAGAGCCATGAAATTATTCGGTAGGATACTGTAATGGTAGATGTGTATCACTATACATATGTCAAAACCCATAGAATGCACAAAACAAAGATGTAGTGTGGACAATGGACTTTAGTTAATAATGTGTCAATATTGGCTCTTCGACTGGAACAAATGTACATGCTAATGCAAGATGTTAATAATTGGGGAAACTGGGGCTATGTGTAAGGAGGTACATGGGAACTCTGTACTTTCTGCTACATTTTTTAAATCTAAAACTGCTCAAAAATTAGTCTATTTTTAAAAAAATAAAAACCCTTTCCAACTCTTTCTAACCCTCTCAACACTTCTGATAATCCAGCCTGAAATTAAGTGGTTACACCAAGGAAATTTGACCAAACGGGTCTATAAGGAGAGTCATAGAGTGTTATAAGTGGTAGGGGTCATCTTCATTTACTAGTAAGGAAATTGAGTGACCCGAAGAAGGGGCATGACTCCCCCATGGACTCACAGAGAATGCCAACAAATGAACCAGAAACCAGCTGCTCTGCTATGCCCTCCCACCTATTCCAGGTTCTGCCTCTTTGCCAAACAATTAAGGTCTTGCTTAACTTACTTACTTTCATTCTTCTTCTCAAGCTGGCAATAATGGGTTTATTTTATACCAAACCCCAGATCAGAGCGAATCCTTCCAAAGTTACTCTACATTTGAATATTGACACATCTTGATTCCTGACTCTTGCCCTCCTAACTACAGAATTAAAATGAACAGTTCTAAGTAATCATGTAATTGTGAAAGTTCTCTTTTCCACCCCACCTCAGGCACCAAAGTATATTTTATCAATGTGGATTTCTTATCAATGCAGTGTCATTTTAAGTCATTTGGATTAAAGATAATTTTTTTTTATTGCTAACTCTGGTGCACACTGCCTCATTTTTTATGCTACTCTGATGAAACAGACTACTTATTGCCTGTATGTGGGCACTGTTACGTTTCACTCTCCAATTTACTCTATAGTTACACCTCGTACCCTTAATTTTTCCTTCACTCTCACTCCAACTTACATCCTCTTTGACCTCATGCCAGACTTCAGTTTCTTGACTGCATTTTTCTCAGCCTTTTATTTGTCCCTTTCTCCACCATGCCTGGATACCTCTGTCCCCTTGTTCCTCTGGTGTGCTCACCTGGCCAACTCAGAACCTGCGATCTTCTCTTTCTTCTTCATGCTTTTTTTTTTTTTTTTTTTTTTGAGATGGAGTCTCACTCTGTCACCCAGGCTGGAGTGCAGTGGCGCCATCTCAATTCACCGCAACCTCCGCTTCCTGGGTTCAAGTGATTTTTCTATCTCAGCCTCCTGAGTAGTTGGTATTACAGGTGTTTGTCATCACACCCGGCTAATTTTTTTGTATTTTTAGTAGAGATAGGGTTTCACCATGTTGGCCAGGCTCGTTTCAAACTCCTGACCTCAATTAATCTGCCTGCCTCAGCTTCCCAAAGTGCTGGGATTACAGGCTTGAGCCACGACTCCCTCCGCATGCTCTCTTTTTCCTCTACTTTACTGAAGTTAACTGAGTACAGGTGGAGGATATTAATCAGTTCTCCGGACGGCTGTCACTATAAACAATCTGGCTTTGAATTTCATTTGGGCCCTGTATGCCTCTTCTGCAACCTCCGTACTTTATTTTACCTTGATCATTGTCCTCTCCTATTTCTCTTATTGGGTATTTCAAATTTTTATTACTGTTTCCAAGCTAAGATCCCAGGCTGGGTGTGGTGGCTCATGCCTGTAATCTCAACACCTTGGGAGCCTGAAGTGGGAGGATCACTTGAGCCCAGGAGTTTGAGACCAAACTAGATAACATATTGAAATCACCTGTCTCCCAGAAAAAAAAACAAAACAAAACTAATATCGGAGGTTGAGATTGCAGTGAGCCAGAGTTGCACCACTGCACTCCAGCCTGGGCAACCAAGCCAGGCCCTATCACTAAAAAATTAAACAACTTTTAACAAGACCCCACCTGCTACCCATCTTTCTCAGCAGACCTTGTCTCCTAGTACACAAGAAAATGGGGGCCATTAGGTATCGACAAGCATCTTCAAATGTTTATCTGTAGGTCTTTTCTTGTGGCCTCAGAGAGGAAGGCATGCATGCTTCCCCAGCCCACCCAAACCAGTTCCTCTTTCTGCTCAGGACTGCCCATCTCATCTTCTCTTCTCCAAAATCCTCCATTAAAGATTCTCTCTACCCCCTGCATCATCAACTACTCTGTTTTTCCTCTCAGCTTCTAAACTTGTGAACCTCTTTATTTCCCCTTTAGGAAAAAAAACCCTTCTTTCCCTCTAGCTGTGGGCCAATCCTTTTCCTTTCAGTCTCCATCATACTTCTCGAAATCTCATGTTCCTCATCTGCTAATTTCTCTTTCACATTTTCATCTTTTTTTTTTTTTAAGATAGAGTCTTGATCTGTCACCCAGGCTGGAGTGCAATGGAGCAATCTCGGCTGACTGCAGCCTCCACCTCCTGGGTTCAAGCAATTCTCCTGCCTTAGCCTCCTGAGTAGCTGGGATTACAGGCATATGCCATGATATCTGGCTAATTTTTTTGTATTTTTAGTAGAGATGGTGTTTCACCATGTTGGCCAGGCTGCTCTCAAACTCCTGACCTCAAGTGACCCACCCACCTCAGCCTCCCAAAGTGCTGGGATTACAGGCATGAGCCGTCGTGCCTGGCCTTCTCTTTCACTTTTAAACTCACTCCCATCTGGATTCTGGCTTCACCACTCTGCTACATTTCTGTTGGCTAAGATGGTCATTGGTTTTCCAATTCCTAGAATCCAGTTTTATTTGACTTTACCTCTCCAGTATTCAGCAATTGGATCAATATTGACTTGTTTTTCAAAATAGGGTCTTGCTCTGTCACCCAGACTGGAGTTAAGTGGCATGATCGTAACTCACTGTAGCCTCAAACTCCTGGGCTCATCGGATCTTCCTGCCTTGGCTTCTTGAGTAGCTGGCACTACACATGGGTGCCATCACACCTGGCTGATTATTTTATTTTTTGTAGAAATGGGATCTTGCTTTGTTGCCCAGGCTGAACTTGAATTCCTGGGCTCAAATGATTCCCCTGCCTTGGCCTCCCAAAGTGCCAAGAGGGATTATAGGTGTGAGCCACAATGCTCAGCCTATTTATTCTCTAAAAAATGCACACAAAGGCCCGGTGCGGTGGCTCATGCCTATAATCCCAACAATTTGGGACACCAAGGTGGGCGGAACACAAGATCAAGCATCGAGACCATCCTGGCCAACATGGTGAAAGCCCGTCTCTACTAAAAAATTAGCTGGGCATGGTGGCATGCCCCTATAGTCCCAGCTACTTGGGAGGCTGAGGCAAGAGAATCACTTGAACCCAGGAGGTGGAGGTTTCAGTGAGCTGAGATCACACCACTGCACTTCAGCCTGGGTGACAGGACAAAACTCCATCTCAAAAAAAAGTTCACACAAAATCTCTGAGCGAATTCCTCGATTTACAATAGGTGGACAATTTATTTCTTGTTGTACTATATGCCTAACATAAAAAGCCCAATCTAGAGATGTTTTTTCAATAAGGATCAATTCCAGCACTTTCACTTAAAAGATAAAGCAACTTTATTATGACATCACCATTATATACAGCTGTGCTTTTCACATCAAGTTGGCTTAGTTCTTTGAAGAAAATCTTAATGACTAAAATTGTATACAGATCATAGGACAAGAAAACTAGTTTAACAAATTCAGTAAGAAATCAGGACAATGGTAGACTATATTAAAAGCTGTCTTAGAAAATTATTTACAACTTTATCATAGTGTAAATGTTCTAAACGTAAAAATAAATCTATGGATTTTATACAAAAATACTCTAAAGTACAAATGTAAGTTAAATGCTGAATAAAATATTCACCTTTTCCAGTGGATGCTATCACTAAGAATATAATCTAGGTGTCAAAACTTGAAGTGATAACCACAAAGCAATGTTTTCTTAATCACTCATAATTTTAAATCTTTTAGTAGTCATCACAAGGTTTAGAGTTTCACTGAAAAATTCTCATTTTTACAAATGTAACTCATATACTTTCCTTCATGGACCCTTCCTCTGTTTATAACATGTGAAAAAGTAAAACAAAATTCTTAGTCAAAAGTTGACATGCTATGTGAAGTACATAAATTATAAAATTGTTAGTCTTATACCTAGTTGATTCCCTTTACAAAAGAAACAGTCAGATGTAATACCTCAGAAAATACAAAGCACACTGCTACAGGGTAACTACTCAATCTAAAAATAATGTTCCCAAACTTCAGAAAATGTTAAGTACTAAATCTTTAAAAGTCATTGTTTTATGAACAATTATAAACAGAAAATAACTCTTCATATTTACATAATATTGGTATGAAATAACTTTGGAATAATAAAAGAAGCATTTTGCCAAGAGGAATCATTTTGCTGTATAAAAAGTAAGCAGAGGCCAAGCGCGGTGGCTCATGCCTGTAATCCCAGCACTTTAGGAGGCCAAGGCAGGCAGATCACCTGAGATCAGGAGTTCAAGACCAGCTTGGCCAAAATGGACGCCTGTAACCCCAGCTACTCAGGAGGCTGAGGCAGGAGAAGTGCTTGTACCCAGGAGGCGGAGATTGCAGTGAGCCAAGATTATGCCATTGCACTCCAGTCTGAGATTTGAGAGACTCAAATCTCAAAAAAATAAAAATAAAAAAGTAAGCATGTCTTATTTTTCCCCCAATGCTAAAAATGACTATTTTGAAACAATGTTGATGCAATTTACAGTTAGATTTTTACTTTGAGGTACTAATTCTGCATTTGGCCAGATGCTCTTAAAAATTAAAAAGTAGGTGTGTCACCTAGTAATATGCCTATTTTAATTTTCTAAGAAGTTTTGTTAAAAATTCTATTAAAATATACATATCCTAGTTACCAAACACATTAAAAGAGAGAAAATGCACATTAAACATATTACTTTACAATTTGGACTTCAGTCCAGCTTTGGAGTCCTCTCCATTCTGTTAATTAGTATGATAAACATGACATTTAGCAGGCAATTAACTATGCATACCAGCACATGCTTAAGATCTAAACAAATGAAAAAGTACTTAAGAGTTCTACTTTGGAGCAGAGTAAATACTGACACTGGGCACATTTTAAGTGACTAATTTTTCTTAACACATTAGTGCAAATTAGCAAACTTTTAGAATAATTTAGTCTTCTAAATTCTTTCCTTGGAAAGAAGGAAGCATAATCTCATCTTCATTCACTCCTTGTGCATATCGAACTGATGAGAAGCCCGCCAGGTGCAAACGGTGCCTTTGGAAGAGGAACCAAATCAGTCCACCAACAAGAATTAAGATACTTAGTGTGGCAATTGAGATAGCTATTGCTGTGTAATCAGGGCCTGGAATAGGAAAAGATTTGATGTTGGAGGAGAGAATACAAAAGTGATCACTATTGATTTTATACATTATGGCTTATGTCACAGATGTAAACGTGTAAGCTGTGAACAGACACACACATAAACCTGTAAGCTGTGTACAGACATAATAAATATGATTGTTTCATAGCACTAACATAGAATTCAAACTCATCATCAGATCAAAAGAAACACTTAAGTGCTTTCTTTTCAAATTTAAATGTTTTCCTTTTCATTCAAATCTTCTTCATTGTTATGGGAATTTTCTTCCAAAGACATTAATGCACTATGATTGTTCTCACATTCCCTTCCTAACACCAATTTGGGAATATCACTAACTGTATATTATCCTACTTTGATAGGAAATTGCTAAAAGCTAAAAACATTTTTTTTTTTTTTTTTTTTAGAGGGAGTCCCACTCTGTCGCCCAGGCTGGAGTGCAGTGGTGCAATCTCGGCTCATTGCAAACTCCACCTCCCAGGTTCAAGTGATTCTCCTTCCTCAGCCTACCGAGTTGCTGGGATTCCAGGCGTGTGCCATCACACCTGGCTAATCTTTTTTATCTTTAGTAGAGACGGGGTTCACCATGTTGGCCAGGCTGGTCTTGAACTCCTGACCTGAGGTGATCCTCCCGCCTCAGCCTCCCAAAGTGCTGGGATTACAGGTGTGAGCCACCACGCCCAGCCTAAATTTTTGTGTTTGACTTAACTGGGGCCAAATAAAGTATTATTTGCTTCAAAATGATTTAAGCCTCTAAGATGACTTCACTCAGTGCAGCTGCTGTTCCAGGACTCTTCTCTGCATGCTGCCCAGATGGATTCTTTCTGTCCCATGACTTTAAATACCATTGCTATGCACACTACACATCTCATCTCTCTATGGATAACTCACAATGGCCAACCTAGAACTCTTGATTTACAACACCCTAACTTTGCTCCCACCTAACCCCCCAAACCTTCCAGTTGCTTTCCATTCCACTCAGAATAAAACCAGAACTCAAGCCTTGCTTCCAAAGCTCTGTATGTCTGGCACCTGCCTACCTTTCATTCTTCCCTGAGTGCTCAGCAAGCTCATTCTGCCTTAGGTTCTTTGCTCCAATTGGTACCTCTGTCTGTTATGCCCTTTCCCTTGATATTTGCTTGGCTTGATTTTTTAGATCTCAGCTTCAGTGTCTTCTGCTCCTAGGAGTCTTCCCTGGTATCCTAATCTACCGTAGCTATCTACCTAATCTCCATCACATACAGTTCATAACTATTTGGTATTTTTCTCTCTTTAAAAAATCGACCTGTTTACTTATCTGTCTTTCTTTACCAGATGGTAACCTGTGTGAGAACAGGAACCTTATCTGTCTTGTTTTCAGGTGCATCCTGGTGTGCAGAACAGGGCATGTCATATAGTAGACACTCTATTTACTGACTCAGTGTATGTATACATGGATACTCATTATGTAGAATTGAGATTTTATCTTTAGTATTTACATACCAGAAGCAAAATTTTTATGCAAGATCTTTAAAAATGTTACTGTGAAAATTTTGGAGCTCTTTCTCCAGAAATGAAGTTAATATAATATTTTCATGGTAATTTTATGTATCAATTCATAATGAAATGTAAGTTCAAGTTATAATTTTTTATAGACACTCTGAATGTTTTCAGTAATGAAATCTAGTTTGCATTGTTTTAAAATTAACCATGAGTTTTATGGGATTAGGAAGAAAGGAAGCAAATTAACTGCAGAAATAGACCTTTAAGCTTTTATATAATCAAACTATAGAATAAAATACATCTCAAGAAAATCTTTTAAAAAATGACTTCCCTAATGCTCTGGCAACTTCTGTTTTTCTTAGGAGAGAATTATGTATAGACTGGAGCCTTAGACATCATGTGTGTTTATTGTCCCTTGTAATCTATTTTTCAGGGGAAAATCTCTATGACTCAATCAAGATATTTGGATATACTTTAAGGACTAAATACTTCAAGACCAAGTACAAAATTCTGTACATGATTGGATTGTACATTTAATTCCTGACCTGTTCTGCAGAAAGTTTCCTAAGGACAGGCTACATACTTACCCAGAGGCACTTTGCAGACAACTCTTCCAAAGCCATGTTCACATTCGACTTTTTTCCAAGTTTCATTTGAAGCTATCAACATGCTACATTTTCCAACACCTCTCTTACTTTTATTTTCCCATTTGAAAAATGTCAGTTCTGATCCATCTAACCAACTCCAAGGCTGGTCTGAAGAAAGAAATTAAATACAGCTATGTTTACTGCCACTAAACTCGTAAGTTACAAGCTTGGGGTTCCTGTAACTCCTTAGAAATGTGTTGTCCAATATGATAGCCACTTTTTAAAATAAAATGCGTTAAAAATAAAAAAAATAAAATCAGTCCTTCAGTTGCACTAGTCACATTTCAAGTGCTCAAGAGCCACATGTGGTCAGTGACTACTATGTTGGACGGTGCAGACATCGAACATTTCTGTCTTTGTAGAAAGTTATATTGGACAACACAGAGAATGTGGTGTTTTGATTAAAGTACAGAATACCTGCACATTTATTTTGTGAGGCAGAGATTTCTAAGGACCCATATCCTTCCCCTACTCTAATTTAAAAAAATTATATGGTTAAAGATATGCTGGTGGAATAGGAAGGGTGCAGGGCCCTCCATCCCCACCCTTCCCCCACACCCCCACCGTGACTCCATTTTTGCTTTCCAGCTGGAGTGGCACCACCTTGTGGTGACAGTGTAAACACGATTTAGAATTAATTTAGATGGACAACTTAGAATCCCATTTTTTTAACCAAGTACCTTTTAGAATTCACATTTATTTTAATAATTTAAAATTTGACTTTGTATAAAATGTAAAAAACTTTCTCTTGTGTCATATTTGTACTCTTAATTTATTTCTACCCGTTTCAAGTTCACCCAAACCCTGTATCTACTACTCCTGATTGAAAAGTCCTTCCACAAATTTTCTTTGAATCAATTCTCTGCAATTTTATAGGTTGGCGTGAAGGTCATTGCGGGTTTTGCCATTAATTTTAATGGTAAAACCCGCAATGACCTTCACGCCAACCTAATACTAAGACAGTTTTTAAAGACTACTCTTAAGACTTAATTTTAACCGATGGTAAAAATATTATTGGAGAGAAGGGTATAACAAGAAGATACCTTTCTGAATAACAAAGTTATAAGCTGCAAATCCATGCAGTGACAGGCACTAGAACTCTAAGAGAAGGAAGGCATGTGTTCCTTGTGGAGACACAGACATAGGGAAGAAAATACCCTGCTGTTGATCCAAGGATCTCAAAAATAAGCCTCTAGAACGATTCCACTTTATTAGGCATGAGTTTCTGTGTCATTAGTGGTTTCCGTCATTGCCACGTTAACTCATGGATTCATTCAAAATTTACAAGCATTCAGAACAGCCAGCCAACCTAGCACATTTATCCAGAAGAGACATTTAAATTAGCCACCACCTAACATTCTTTACCAAGGCTGACTTGTTATTTGGAATGAGTCTGAACTCTTTCTGCACACATACAATTATTTCACTTACCAACAGAATGTTGAGATAATCCAAGCCAGACTCTCATGGTAATATTATTATTTTCCTTCATCAGTCTGCTCACAAATTTATTCTCATCTTCATCCTTTATGGAAACGATAGTTGCAGAGTGATCTGTTGAAGGAAAACAAATTCTCAATCAGCTTTATGCTAACTAGAGAAGTAGTTTATTCTCGACTAGAAGACTTTTCAATCAGTCAAGTATCTCCACAACAGCTGTCAAAATAAATTAGATAAACGCCATCCATCTACCTGGCAAATTTGCTACCCAAGGATGCAGGTAAACAAGTTTTGGTCTTTGAAATACTCTAGGTAGTTTCCCTAGAAGTCATTTTACAGTTTGACTATGGATTAAATTTGTCATGGGAGAGATCCAATCATTGCTATTCGTTCTAAAATAGCTAAATCTGAAGACAAAAAGCCCTGTTCTTTATAGTGGTCAGAGGATGTGGGTCAGTTCTATCGCAGAATGGCTGGACAACCATACTGCTTTGATTCATTACCCTGGTGAGGCTAAGCTTATGTATTCATAACTAAGCAATGGAACAACTCTAAATTTTATTTACTACTTAGCCAACTTTACAAAAACTTTACCTCTTAATCCCTTTTTCTAAGCACATCTAGCTATAGGCAAAACCAATTCATTTGTCAGTATTTTTACTTAACAGTTCACTTGGCCACTTTCATTTTATTATTTTAAATTTATTATTATTATTTTATTTATTATTTGAGATGGAGTCTTGCTCTATCGCCCAGGCTGCAGTGCAGTGGCACAGTCTCAGCTCACTGTAACCCCCATCTCCTAGGTTCAAGCGATTCTCCTGCCTCAGCCTCCTGAGTAGCTGGGACTACAGGTGCATGCCATCACGCCCAGCTAATTTTTGTATTTTTAGTCGATATGGGGTTTCACCATATTGGCCAGGATGGTCTCGATTTCTTGACCTCATGATCCACCCACCTCAGCCTCCCAAAGTGCTGGGATTACAGGCATTTTTAATGGCTATTCCAATATTTCATTGAGTTCCTATGTCATAAGATACTTCGCCATTTCCCTACCACTGGGCAATTAGTTTACAGTGCTATTAGAAATGGAAAATGCTTTAAAAATTTTTCAAAAATATAATTATTGCTTCAAATTATATCCTTAAGAAATATTTCTAAGAATTAAATTATCGAGTCATAAGAAAATTAACAAATTATAACTCACCACGTTCTGGACACAATTTTTTGGCCTCTGAAAAACTGTGCAATGCCTGATCAGACGTGTAACAGTGACCCTTGTACTGGATCCACCGTGACTCATTCCCTTTTGCTGCAGGACATCTTGATGAATATGTAAGATGGGACAGCTTTTTAGCTATAAAAATATTAGACACAGTTGTAACAATGCACAGAAAAAAGTGACCACCTTTCAAAACTAATTAAATATGTCCCTGATTCAAACTGTTGCTCTTGCAGTAAAGAAACATTTAACTCAAACCAGAGAAGGCCAGAGCCCACATTCTATAAATACATAATTTAATTAACTTTTTGGAATATCGTTTAAAAAACCTAGATAACAGAAGTGGAAAATGACTTAGCTTTCTAAGACTGATTTGGACTAAAGTAAAAACAATGAGAAAGACAGACTAGAAAAAGAAGTAAAGACAAGACAAGCAGACCTGAAACTACTCTGAAATCATCATTAAAATTATTTCTTTCCTTGGATTCTTTTTTTTTTTTTTTTGGAGAGATGGGTTTTCACCATGTTGGCCAGGCTGATTTCAAACTCCTGACCTCAAATGATCCGTCCTCCTCAGCCTCTCAAAGTGCTGGGATTACAGGTGTGAGCCAACATGCCTGGCCCCTTGGATTCCTTTTTATTTTGATAATATAAATAAATCTAGTTTTACTTCGTCATAAAAAGAACTATTTTAAAAAATATTTTTAAGAATTGCTAATTTGTTTTACATAGCATAAAACAACAGCACCGCAACATCACTCAAACAGAAAAAGAGTAGGAGTGGCTTCTCAGCTCTCAAAAATGCCCCTGGTTTCCATTTAAATTGATTTCTAATTGTGCTAAGTAACAGAAGCAGCCTGGGGAATGCAGCCTGTGCCCCTTAACGCCTGTTTTTAATTCCAAAAGAAGAGTGTATGAAAACTGGAAAGTAAATTGTCAATGTTGTATTAGTGAGGTACAGATGATCTGAATCAAATATTTGACCTGGTACCAGTCAGAAATCTCAATCCAAACTATTGTTTTGTAATGCATTCTGTATAATCTGCATATCCTTCAGTAAGTAAAGGCTATTCCTGTTTTTTTCTCCAAATCTCCACTTGGTAGAGTCCTTATTTGTTGTCTCTGCAATTAGAGAAGGATGGCTGCTGCTGTTTCTTTCTTCATCAAGAGAGTCTTTAGTGGCCCTTAGTTCCTTCTGCTGCTTCTCTATCTTCTGTTAGAAACCAGACTTGATTTTTTTGAACTTTGCTTAGTTGATTGGCTTTGCCTCCATTCTTCCCACAAATGCTACCAATTTGAGTACTAAGTCTTCAGTCCAGCAGTCGGACTCCTGGGTAAGTTTCCCAGCTGCTGCAGATCAAAATGCATTTGCCAAATGCATCTATACAATCTATGAAACTTGTCACAACTCCTCACTAATGCTGCTGCTGAAAAGAAATGCTACTAGTAAGTTCTTGTTTTTACTACCTTATGAAAATAGTTGGTTGGGCAAAGGTATATTGCTGATTACTCCACTGATGCAGTGGGCTCAATTGTTGATGCAAAACTTGAACACTGGCTATCATGGCGTCATTAGGATAGGGAACTTTTCTGAATGGTTTGACCTTTTTTTAAAAAAAAAAAAATTACTTCTTGCACTGGCAACATAAGGAGATGCATTATCTTCGGTCTATTTGTTTCTAGTATAGTCTGCAACTGGGTTGCATACATTTTTTTTTCTTCCTGTTCTTCATGATGTTTTGCTTCCCACTCTCATTGTTTTTTTCTGCAAGGCCCCGCATTATGGTAAGTGTGTTATATTCCTGTTCAAAAAGATCCATTTTTTAATTGTGGTAAAATACACATAACATAAAATTTACTATCTTAACCATTTTTGTTTTGTTTTTAGAGACAGGGTCTTATGCTGTCACCCAGGTTGGAATGCAGTGGTGCAATCATAGCTCGCTGCAGTCTCTAACTCTTGGATGCAATAGATCCTCCTGTATCCGTTTCCCAAGTAGCTGGGATTACAGGCATGTGCTACTGTGTCCAGCTAATTTTTAAAATTTTTTGTAGAGATGGAGTCTCACTGTGTTGCCCAGGCTGGTCTTGAACTCCTGGGCTCAAGCCCTCCACCTGTCTCGGCCCCACAAAGTGCTGAGATTACAAGAATGAACCACCACATCCAGCCGTAACCATTTTTAAGTGTACAGTCCCGTGGCACTAAATGAATTAACTCTGTTGTACAGCTATCACCACCATCCATCTTCAAAACTTTTTCATCTTGCAAAACTGAAACTCTATACCCACTAAACAATAATTCCCCATATTCCCTCCTTCTAGTCCCTGCTAACTGCCATTCTACTTCCTGTCTCTCTGAATTTGACAACTCTGGGTACTACTTCATGTAAATGGAATCATAGAGTATTTATCTTTTTGTGACTGGCTTATTTCACTTAGCATATTGTCTTCAAGGTTCATTCATGTTGCAGCATGCATCAGAATTTTCTTTTTTTTTTTTTGAGACAGAGTCTT